TTCCTGCCTATGCAGGGGATCGGACTCAATGATCCATTGAGGTTCCTTCTGACCCTAACATCTATGAATCTATGAATGCTACTGCACAGTAGTGTCTTGTATAAACACGCTCACAGTATCAACTATCTACTGGCACCACACTGGGGCCAGAGACCTGAGACAGCCAGTCAGTGAGTAAGGAAGGAGCATGAGCCTGACTAGGGATGGCATTAGAGTTCAGAAGTGGAACCAACTTCCTAGGTGCAGCCTACTGGCAAGCCTCTATCTTCAGGCAAAGCAAAGGATGGTATTTATTCCCCAGCTCTAGGGCTGCCCAGCCCTCCAACCTAATGCTTCAGCAAACTAACTTAAGCTGCCCTGCCAACAATGACACAAGCTGCTGCTTGCACAACACATCCACCTCAATGTGACTTTGGCCTTCAGGGTCCCATCACCCTTTGGGAGCTATGCCCCCTTGCAATCATACCAGTAGCCTCAGTTTACCCTTCAGTTCTAATTATGGGTGATCAAGTCTTCTCTCCCCCTATCACAAAGCTGCCAGTCAGGCTTCTCAAGATACTCTGGTAAGCAAGGTTACTCCCCACCCAGAGTACATCTCTGCAAACAGAGAAAATGCCTGTATCAGTCATGTGCCCTGGTGCACAAGGGCAGGGAGACATCTTGAATAGGAACTGTGAGATAAAACCCAGCTGCTTTATGTTGCTTCTTCAGGAGGCCTCCCTTTGTTCAGCAAATGAACTGGAATTCCTCAGCACTCATCTCACAGCACAAGTAGCAGGATAGCAGTGCCATCCATAAACCGGAAAAGTTGGCTTGTATACTGTGCATGCATTACACCACTGTCCTCTCCCAACAGAAGGCAACTTTCCAAAAGAGATTTGAATTGTAACAAAGAATGAACAGACTTTCTCTCAGCCTTCTGTCAAGTTGGTTTGATTTCTCCACTGGGGGTTTGGTGGGAGATAGAAAGGAGGTGCCCACTTCCAAGATGGGATATGGGCCCAGGGGAGGGTTTCACTGTACATATAGAACTATAATGAAATAGACCAGGGTCTTCAATGTTTTTGGACAGAGTGCCAAAAACACTCGCAAACTCAACTTGTAAGATGTTGGTGTGCCGGGGCGGAGCAGCCCTTACCTTTTCCCCGCTGTCTGCCCCAAAGCACATAATGTGGCAAGCAAAATGCCTTTATGTGCCATGCTCTGGCACCCATGCCAGGGGATGCCTACCCCTGAAATAGACTTTAAAAATACAGCCTAAAAGATGCACAGCATCTGATGAGGGGAACTCAGGCTCATGAAAGCTTATACACTGCTGATTTAGTTAGTCTATGAGGAGACCTGCAGGTTAGTCTTCTTTACCTTGCCTCTAACCCAAAAGTCTACTTTGCCTGGAATTGTAAAAGCTGAGAGAATTGCTGTGTGTAGACGAAATGAGAGGCATGTGTGCACAACACTTTAAAGCGGGCTAAATGCTTTTGCACCATTTTAATGGTGTTGGTGTTTGCATGCCTTGGCGGCGTATTGTGCATTAATTCCAGCCACTAGGAAATTTGGCGGCACCTTAAATGACTTGGGGGAGGAAACTCCTTCAGGAGTTTTAGTTTGCTGTCCCTACACCTGTGGAGTGAAGCACGGGGCTCCATGCAGCTCAGGGGCTCTGCAGGAAGCCCTGCACGCAGCCTGGCAGCAGCCCAGGAAAGCAGGCTCTGCCCAAGAAAATTGGCAAGCCTTATGTTTCCCCCTTCCCTTCCCCCAGAGCCTGCCTGAGCTGCGTGGGGGCCAGTGCTTCCCCCCGTGGCTGTGGTGCCTGCTGCAACCACCCATGCCGGGTGCCTGCAGGTGGGTGCCACCTGGGGATGGCCGCTGCTGCCACAGAGGGAAGCACCAGTCCCCACCCCAACAGCCCAGGGACTGCTCTGCCTGCCAGCAGCTCTCCCTCCCCTCCTCGCCGGAAAGGCAGGTAAGTCAGTGGGGTGTGTGCACGACATGGGGGTTTAATCAGCCCTAAACTGAAGACAGATATTTTTAAAACCCACCACTTCAATTTAGGGCCCCTGTTTCATCTACACATGCCCTATGATTTTAATGGAAAATAATATGAAATTTTTAAACAAGAACAGACAGCAGCTGTGTACACAACACTATTTCTGTCATCCTGTTCTACCCATTGCTCAGACTGACATGAATTGCTTTAATAAATATGTACATGTTTGTGTTCCCAACCCTGTTGAATTAAAATTCATTTGAATTATTTCTCAAGGACTCTTGTGGGTATGTCAGTCTCTTGGACAAGGAGTTGCTGGTTCCCTTCCCACAGTAGGTGGGACAAGGAAGTCTACTTTAATTTCCTTCTGAGAACCCTCTGCAAGGGCTGTCTGCTGGTGACCTGATTCTGTGAAAAGCTGAATGCCCTCAGATACATAACAATCCTTCCAGGCTGAAGTCCCAGTAGGATAATCAATAAGCACCTGTTGTTAGAGCCAGGAAACAAAACAGGACTTGATCCTGCTTTTTATTTTTGTAGGCCTAATAAAGAAAATACTGATCAAAGAAAAAGGAGTCGTCCATGCCCATTGTAAGGAGCATTTTGAAGACCTTCTCGATTGAGACTCTGTTGTTGATGAGAGCATTCTCAACTCCATCCCACAAGACCCCATCAGAGATGATCGGACAATCCTTCCAACCATTGCTGAGGTAAGGAAAGCCATCAAGCAGATGAAGAATGACAAAGCATCTGGAGCTAATGGAATCCCTGCTGAAATCTTCAAGCAAGGGGGAGAGGAGCTTACATCACAACTCCATGCCCTCATCATAATGATCTGGAATGATGAGGAAATCCCAGCTGACCTCAGGGATGCCATGATCACAACGATCTTCAAGACAGGAGACAAGTTGGACTGTGAAAATTAAAGAGGGATCGCCTTGCTGTTCACCACAGAAAAGTTAATTGTGAGAAATCTCCGGAACCATCTCCTCCCACTTGCTGAAGAGCTCCTCCCAGAACCTCAGGGTGGGTTTAGGGCAGAGGTGGGTAAAACACAGTCCATGGGCCAGATCCAGCCCACCAACAAATTTGACCCAGCCTATGAGTGGGTGGCTGCTCCAGCTCATTGGATCCGGCCCAAGAGCAGCTAGCAGGTGGGCAGGCAGGGCTGTTTCTGCTACACTAGTCAGGTGGGTACCCAGCAGCATCAGATCTTGATGTGGCAGCATCAGCTAGGTGGGGGTTTCCACTGCAGCAGGCAAGTGACAGCATCAGCTGCGGGTACAGCCAGCAGGTTCAGGAGCCCCGAGGCAGAACCTGCCAATGGCGTTAGCTGTGGACCCAGGCAGGAGCTTCTGCCATGCCAGGTGGGTAGCAGCATCAGCTGTGGACACTGCTGGCATGTTTTACATCAGGGCTCCAGAACCTGCTGGCTGCACCCACAGCTGATGCTGCCACCCACCCACTGTCCCCATCTGGGTCCGCAGCTGAATGTCATGGCTCCTGTTGAACTACAACACCAGCCAGGTTCTGGAGGAAGGGAAGGGAAGGGAAGAGAGAGGGAGAGAGCAACAGAGACCTTGAGCTTGTGATCAGTCAGCTCCCAGTCAGTCTTATCAAATCAATCTTCATGTTTCCTGGTAGAAAATTCAAGTGTCTCTTCACCGGCACTGATTATGGTGAACTTGAAGGCATCCCAAGCGCTGCCAACATGCTCCCATTGTTGTTGATTGGAATTCACCAGTTTTTCAGTGAGACACTTGTGGAAGAGGTCTCATTTAATTGGGTCCTTGAGTCCTTCAGTGTTGACCTTCCATTGGCATTGCTTCTGCTGCAGTCATCATTAGGGAGCCAGCGTGGATGGCATAACTTAGCAAATGAGTTGGTGACTGGTCCAGCAATAGTCAGCTCCCAGCATTGCTTGAATGATGCAGGCATCGTTGTGATCCCAGGCATGAACAATGATGTAGTCAATCAATTGCCGATGCTTAGACTGTAAGTATTGCCATGAAGTCTTGTACCTGTTTTACTCATGGAACAGGGTGTTGGTGATGGTGTGTCCATGCTTTCCATATTTGGTCAAGAGGAGGATGCCACTGGAGTTGACCTTTCCCACTCCTCCCTTGCTGACAGTTCCATTTCAGAGGTTTGAGTCCCTTCCAACTGGCATTGAAATTACCAAGCAAAATAAGTCTATCTCCCTCCAGAATGTCAGAAAGGACTTGGTCAAGGTTGGCATAGAATTCCTCCTTGGTTTTGTCAGCAGCATCAAGAGTTGAGTTATACACACAGATGACAGTGGCGTATTGGCTCCCTACCAATCTGAGACAGAGTCATGAGGAGTGCATTAATTCCAATAGGGAATTCACTGAGTTGATTTATTCTTGAGTTTTTTCTTTATGAAAAAACCTAGTCCATAAAGTCAGTGTCCTCCTTCCTGTTTACCCTTCTAGAAGAGGGTATAGCCACCTCCTTGTTCTTTGAGATGCCTATCTCCTGCCCGCTGGGTCTCACTTAGTGCACTAACATCAGTGTTGGGTTGCTTGACTTCTCAAGTCATGATTGTGGTGCAGTGCTCTTGGTCTTCACTGTTGGTATTCTCCATGAGAGTCCTGATGTTCCAGGTTGCAAAATTAATTCCATGTCTTTGTTGATTTTGACCTCAGTAAAAATGATCCCACTGGGCAAGGTTAGCCAGTCAGGAAAAAAGTAGGCAGACTATGTTTAGGATACCTTTTCTAGCCCCCTCCCCATGATGGGATGAGCAGAGTAGATCTTAAAGAGGGCTACCCAATTACAGTTACATATATGTGTGTGTGTGTGTGTGTGTGTGTGTGTGTGTGTGTGTGTGTATACATACATACACACACACACACTAGCAACTCGGGTACACACACATTCAAAATAACTAGTCTAGGTTCATGCACACCTATCACCAGTTTAAGCCCATACATGATACACACACCAAATTTAGACAGAATCAGTTACCAGTTACCAACACTTGCACATCCAATACACATACATGGATTACTAATTCATATACCACACACACACAATGATATATATGTATATGTATTCACACACATGCCACCCACCTACACACACACACAGGTGAGTTCCTAAGTTGGGTGTTGTGATGCGTATGTATGTATGTATGTATGTGCTTGGTGTACTTGGGATACCTGGGGAAAGGTTAAGGTAAGGAAGTAGAAGTATAGGGAGTTAAAGTTACCAGGACCGGGATTAGAACCAGTAGACTACAGGGGCCTGGGCTGAAGAACTGAAGCTGCGGGTAACTTTAGGTTAATTGATCTTAACTGATTAAAAGACAATACCCAAAGCCTGCAGAACAGGGAAGCAATGCCAGCACAGCTAGGGGGAGCTGAAAAGGTAGGTAGGGAGAGGGAAAAATAGGACTAAGGGAAAGTGTGGGTGTTAAAGAGGGGCTCTGGGTGTGGGGAGCCAGAGGATGGCTCCAGGGCATCTAGAGAAGTTGCAGGGAGCAGCAGTAGGTGCTGGAAGCTGGAGAACACCACAGGACAACTAAGAGGACCTGGGAAGCTGCGGTGGGGGGGAGACTACAGAAGGTGCAGGGGAAGCCTGAAAACAGAGAGATGGACAGCAGAAAATCACAGGAAAAGCAGCAGGCAACAGGGCAGCAGAAAAGCAGAGAAAGGCAGCAGACTCACGGAAAAGGCAGTAGGAGCAGGGGAGGCTGAGAGGTGGCAGAAAACGGGAGATGGAATTGGGAGGAGATCAGGAAACTAGCAGAGAGGGTGGGGACTGGAGCAGAGAGAGAAAGTGAATGAGGCTGGAATTTAAGATAAGGAAGGGACTGGGATTCAGTAAAACATGACCCAACTCGGGGTTGCAAATGACAGTGGTTTTATTGAACAGGGGAGACAGTGACACAATGTCTTATTGGTTCCCTTGCATGCACCCACCCACAATGGCAGCAGGGGTTAGAGAGACTTGGTGCAGGAGCTGAAGTCCACTGAAGTCCAGGAGGAGACAGAGAGAGAGAGTCCAAATTGTAGGAGGAGGTGTGCAGGTAATATCTACCTATCCAGGCTGGAAAAGGGTCCTTGTCCAATAGGTGTTGTACAGAGGAGGGTTGCCGGCAGGGCCTCTGGGTGGATAGGTGGTGTGGCATGGTGCTGGTCCAGATGGAGAGGGCATCCCACTGGGTCTGTCTTCACTGCCCCTTTTTATAGGGGCAGACCTTGTGTGACCCTAGTGACAAGAGGCATGCCCAGGCAAGGGTCAGCCTCTGGCATAATGAGCATGTGTGCTCCGTGCAGGGATATGCAGTTTCGGGTGTCTGTAATGGTGAGAGTTGCTGGTTCTGTGGGTGTTTTGTCTTTCAAATGCTGTTCTTGTCTCTGTTCCTGGGTGAGGTCCATGGTTCCTGGATGAATCAATGCGAGGTGATGGCCCAGTCATTACAGGCCATTCAGTAGATGCCTGCTACCACTGTATTTCAATCATTCCCAATCATTCTCATTCATCCGGGAACCAATTTACATGGGAGGGGTACAATGAATCACATTGTTGCAACATGGGATGCCCAGGCAGAGGACAGAAGATGGAGGCTTGACATATAAATTGGAAACTTGGCATGACTTTAGTTCACTTACAAATACAGGCCTAAAACACATAATATTCATATGAAACAATAAAAATCAATATAAAAATGATAATATAATATACAACAGTAAAAATTAATACAAAACTAATAATTATACAATATAAAACAGTGGATATCCAAAACCAAAAACTTGCTACCAAAATAGAAATGTTTAAAGCTTATCCTAAGTTTGAGCTCACTTATACTTATCTATAGGGAATAGAGAGGGAGAGAAAAAGTCAGAAATGGTTGGGGAAGGGGAGGGAATGCGATTAAAAAAAAAAGAAAGAAACTGGGGGGTTTGCTACAATAGTTCCCTGCTGATTACATGAGTATATTTAAAGTAATCAAGCAGTTCTGAGATTAAGGACCTGTCACTTGCTGTCATTAACTCCTCTGACAAAGTTGTAGTGCTAGAAATAATCCACATTTGCCCTCTAACAGTGCACTGGAGCATCATGGCTCTTCCATGGTCAATAAAGGCCAGATTAGAATATAACACTCTGGAGCAAAATAAGCCAAAGCTAGAACAAGGGTGAGTATCTCTGAAATAGGGTGCTGCAGTGGTTTAAACAGATGGGGTTAAAGCGGTTTGGAGATGAGACTAAATCCTATTTCACTTTACGCATCTAGATTACATGTACACAGTAGGGCTGTGTGAAACGGCTATGTTTCGTTTCGGGTTTGGATTTGGCCATTTCAGAGGACAACGATTCATTTCAGTGTTTCAGATCACTGTTCCGTTTCGGTTCAGCCAAATCTGTTTTGGAGTTTCCGCGCTGATTCAGAGATTTGAATTGGCCGGGGAAAGGCAGCCATAGCCGGGTGGCTGCAGGTTCTCCTGTGGCTCCTCCCGCTGTGCCCCTCTTTCGCCTTGCG